AATCACAATCAAAGGCATATACTTCCTTCCCAGTGAATTATTTTCAATCTACATTGTTTGTTAACATGGTTTAAAACCGCAGTAGAACAGCACAGTCGAGGTTGACAGGAACATCCAGTCCAACCTGCCTGCTCGAAGTAGGGTGTTATCTGCATCTGGTTGGTCACAACTATATCCAGATAGATTTTGATTATCTCCAGGGACAAAGACTCCATCACCTCCTTGGGCATCCTGTTTCAGGGTCTGACCACCCTCACAATAAAAGCTTTCTTTTTATGTTTAAGTTAAAAAAACTCCACAACTCCAAGCAATAGATTGTTTTCCCCACAATTTTACGCAGAGCTTAAAGATCTGAGCTAAAGAATTTAAAGTCAGTAGACCAATTTCATGTCTTAATAATTTTCTGTCCAAAATGCATATCTTCCTTACAGATGAGGCTGAAGTTTGTATCATTTATTTGGACTGATAACATTATATTATATACTGCATTGTCAGTTGACAGTTGTTCTGTTCTTCATTGTGTTTAGCTTCCTAAGTTTGCATAAATGCACATTGACCGGCAATTAAAATTGATCAGGAAAATTAAATACTTTAGTGGAAAAGAGTAAAACATCTCAACAAAATCTGGATTTTTTCTTCCAGTTTTAAGCATAATAGTGTGTTTTAACTGCTTCTGTTCAGAGAGCACATTTCATTCTGTTTGGTTTTTTTTTCTAGGAAAAATGTAATAGTGGTGCCATAGTCGTTATTTAAAGATAGTAACAAAATAATTGCTTGGGCTGTCTGAAGATTATGAAACAGATGGAAGTATGCATTCAGATGAACAGAAGATACTCAGGGTGCTGACGACTAACTATGACAAAGTATCTGATGGAGGCTATACCTTCTCTGTCCAGGAATATGCTGTACATGGCTATGGAGTCAAGAAGCTGCCTTATTATACAAAGTCATGGAACAATTAAGTGAAGCCAGGCAATCAGGTCTTCGTCCAGAAAGGGCATAAACACATTCATAACCCGAGACTCGATGTTATTGGGAGTAAATGTTGGCTGTTACCAGGCACATGTTCAACTGCCCGTTACAGCAGCAGAACTCCTATTGCAAATCCTCATCATTCATTATCCTGATTGTACAAACCCCTTTTAAGTATTATGTAATTCTTTGCTGGTTTGCCTATCAGTGCCAAATTCAAATTTGTCAAACATGTCAAAAGCACTTTCTCCTTTTCACGCAGCTATCCTGTAATGTGACCAGAATCCACATAAAGGCAAACAAGCAATACTTGAGTAACCCTGCCATCGCTCTCTTTGGCAAAAAAAAAAAAAAAAAAGGGACATGGAAAGGGCTGAAGTACTGCATGCCTTCTTTGCCTCAGTGTTTACTAGCAAGACTGGCCTTCAAGAATCCCAGGTTCCAGACACTGGGGGGAAAGGCGGGAACAAGATATGCCTTAGGTGGAAGAGGGTCAGGTCAGGGAACACTTAAGCAAACTGGACATACTTAAATCCATGAGCCCTGATGGAATGCACCCACAGGTGCTGAGGGAGCTGACAGATGTTACTGCAAGGCCACTCTTGATAATCTTTGGTTGATCGTGATAACTGGGAGAACCGCCCAAAGACTGAAGGAAAGCAAATATCACTCCTATCTTCAAGAATAGAAAGAAGGAGAACCCAGGGAACTACAAGCTGGTTAGCCTCACCTTGATCCTCGGGAAGGTGATGGAACAGCTTATTCTGGAAACCATTTCCAGGCACAGTAAGGACAAGAAAACCACCAGGAGTAGTTAGCAATGGCTTCACCAAGGGCAAGTCATGCTTGACCAGCTTGATACATTTCTATGATGAAAGAAGGGGAAGAACAGTCAATATTGTCTACCTGGACTTCAGTGAGGCTTTTGACGCTGTCTCCCATAAGATCCTCATAGACAAACTATTGATGTATGGGCTGGATAAGCAGACAGTGAGGTAGACAGAAAAATGGCTGAATGGCTGGGCCCAAAGAGTGGTGATCAGAGGCACAAAGTCTAACTGGAGACAAGTAACTAGCAGTGTACCCCAGGAGTCAGTTGTGTTTAACATCTTCATTAATGATCTGGATGATGGGGCAGAATGTACCCTCAGCAAGTTTGCTGATGGCACAAAACTGGGAGGAGTGTCTGATACACCAGAGGGTCATGCTACCATCCCGAGTGATCTTGGCAGGCTGGGGAAATGGGCTGACAAGAACACTGTGGAGTTCAAAAAGGAGAAGTGCAAAGTCCTGCACCGGAGGAGGAACAACCCCATGCACCAGTACATGCTGGGGGCCACCAGCTGGAAAGTAGCTTAGCAGAAAAGGACTTGAGCATCCTGGTGGGCACTAAGTTGACCATAAGACAGCAATGTGGCCTTGTGGCAGAGAGGCTAATAGGTTATCCTGGGCTACATTAGACAAAAATCTTGCCAGCAGATTGAGGGAAGTGATCCTTCTCCCATCTGAACATGGGCCAGGGCAACTGGCTCTAGGTGGCCCGGCTTGAGCAGGGGGTTGGATCAGATGACCTTCAGAGGTCTCTTCCAGCCTCAGCCATTCTGTGTGTGTGAGTGTAGCAGTGCGTGCTTAAGGTCATTAAAGCAGATGGATGATACAGCATCTAAATTTTAGGGCCTGGCCTTGCAAAATGCAGTGTAGTACATGGGCAAAGACATGTAGGTTCTGTTGGCGTTGCGTGGGAGGATGAGGTTTGTCGCAAGACAGAGTGTTGAATAGACGCCAGTCTCAACAGGGAGCTTTCTAAAATCGGTGCCCTTCAGCATGCAAGTGGCTGGACCAGGCAGAAGGAAGCACTGACTAACCTGACACTTTCCTCGGGTTTTTTTTTCCTTCTTGGGACCCACAGCTTGAAGCACTTTTCTGAGGACAGGCACCTACCTCCTTTCCTTCAAATAACTGAAGGGGGATATCTCTTTTTTTCCTTAAATATAGCAGTGGAAAGGGAAGCTGTTTCCCTTCTTTTTATATGATAATTTAATGGCTAGATCGTTCTTTCTTCAGTCGTAGTGGATTCAACTAATGGCTTCCATCTTTCTGAAGGAGCCCTGCTGTCAGCCTGTAAGGTATTATGTGTGGGAGTGTGTGTGAGAGGGAGAGTCTGTGCACCATTAAAGCTCTGTCTGCGTGCAGAACAAGCTGCAGGATTGAGGGGATATGAGTGGAGGGAAGCCCAGAGCCCGGGGTGGGAAGTAGCTGTGACTGGAACGGCCGTGGGCAGATCTCCTGCCTCCTGGGAGGGCGGTTGTGCCTATTTTCCATTTAACAGTGATTTGTATGCAGAAACAGAACGCTTCTCGCAGCTGACTGGCCTGCCTGCTGGGCTACTCACCTGCTCTGTCTATTTTCAGCCCATGAATCTTTTAATGAAAATGGCATTTACATAGAATAGGAAGCGCGGTGGAATATGGAACACAACAGGAAGTTGTGCAAAAGAGGAGAAAAATAAATGCCAGAAGCCCAGAGAATAAGCATCTAAAATTCCAGCAGTACCTTTTTCTTCCTTGCCAAAATTTGTGAATTTGTGATATTGATTTGAACTCAGGGTGATGGAAGATCAGAGTTAATAATGGAGTCGAATACTGTTCTTGAAGCATCTGTTCGGAAATTGATGTAATTACTTTACATGCAAAATGACCTTAGATTCACCCAAGATAGAAATACCCTTAAGCAGGAGCACAGAACTGTGGTCCCTTTCATCTGTCCCCTTTCATTCTTCTCTCTTAGAGAATTCAGCAACAGATACCTCAGTAGGTTTGAGAAAATGTGGGAGAAATTTCTCCTTTTTCTTTACAGATGAGTACTGAGAGATTATCTGAAGCAAAAGGCTTTGCCACTTAGAAAAATGGATGCTACTTTATTTAATTGATCTTTTCTATGAATCCAAAGACATGAAAAATGATTTTATAAGAAAATGTCTTCCACAAATATACTTATTTTCTCAAGTTCCAATAATATATATGGGTGTCTATTTCGATGATGCAACCAAACTATTATGCATTTATGTATGCATATACTCATTTATTTTTAATATTAATATATAAATAAGGTCACCATTAAATTTCAATATTAATAACACATTGATGTGTTTTGATTTAATATTTACTTAAAATAAACTCTCCTTTGTGCATTTTTATGCAGTGCGGTATTACAAGCTAAGTTTTTTCTCTGTTGTACCTGTCTAACTCCATCCAGTTGTATCATAACTGACAGCTATTATTCTTCTTCAGTAATATCTCAGAATTTTATTTTCAGTTACGTTCTCAATTCTTCTGGGATGCAAGAGCTGTTTGACAGCTTAGGCTACTACAAAATGGTTGAAAAAATGGCGTTGTTTAATTCTTATAGATTTGTGCCACCTACTGAATTACTATACTGCTTTTGGGAAGACTAGATTTTCTGTGAAAGAATTACTTTTTTAGTTTAGAATTACTTTTAATTACTTTTAATTACTTAATTACTTTTTAAAAATTAATTTTCAACTGAGTAAGGCTACTTTTATGTTTGGATAATTATTTATGGTATAACAACTCATTTGAAAAGCTGAAACCTTTAAGTCACAGAGGATTGTAAAGTTGCAATGTCATTCTAACTTAATTTTCTTTTGCGCTCAGAAATATTTCCTTATTTTTTCTAGATATTGTCTGTATTTTCCTGAATCTTGTCATATCAGTATTTTTCATCTGTAATGCATGCAAAATACGATCTCAGCTTCACTACTTTAAAAAACAAACAACAAAAAACCCTCAAAAAATGGGAATTCTACCATCCAGAGTTAATATTTGTAGAATTGGAAGAACTTCCGTAATCATATTGAAATTCACATCTTAACCAGTGAACAGTCACCCAGGAAAATGGAAGAAAGGGCATATTGGCCTTCCAAATTGTTTCTTCTTTTCAAAAGTCTGAACCATTTTATTCAACAGCAGTTTAGGAAAAACAAATATTTTTTTTCTTTACACCAACAGTTGCACCAGAAGATCCTAGCAGAAAGGTAGATGGGGATACCATTATTTTCTCACATGTGCAAGAAAGGTCAAGTGCTGTCTATCAGTGCAATGCTTCTAATGAATATGGATACTTGCTAGCAAACGCATTTGTGAATGTTTTGGGTAAGAAACAGATTTTCTATTTTTCAGTTTTCTTGCATAGTCAGTCATTTCCTGCTATTACACGGATTGCATGCTCAAGCCTCGCTTGAGGTCTTTACTGGGAATGGACGTATTTTTCAAGCCCTGTAAAAGGCAAGGGTATACATATATTGTTTTTTGTAGGATATTCCTGAATTTCACTATTCCTGAGTAAGAAGGATAGTTGTAAAAGCTGGAAAAACTTGGAAGAAATTTTATCTCTTTTTTAAATTTATTTATGTAAATCAAGCAAATGAAAGCATAACAAATAAGGCAGGAATTAATATTCCTTAAGTTAGTGTGTTTCGGTACACTTTCATTGGTTGTGGGTGTTTTGAGTCAGTTAAATAGATGATTCTAAATTGCTAGTGCAAGGGGACATGATTATGCATTTCTTGCAGGCCTTCCAAGAATGCTCTTCTAGTTATGAGTTACTGTGGCCTCTCTAATTCTTCTCGCTGAATTTAACAAAGACAGTAGCAAAATCCTGGGCAGAATGTCTTCTGAAGTCTCTCCTGCAGGAGCTAGCAGATCTTTTGATTGAGAGACACTGTCTTTTAAGTGAAAGAACTCTCTTTGGTTCCATGGTTCCTTTAAGAAATGTAGGTGTTTCACCCAAAATACATCTTAGCTTCTTCCTGCCTGCAGGTTTGTTCAGAATTATATAGTTCTATCTGTTGCCAAGAGTTTCTCATCTTGAAGTACATTCTGATTTCAATTTTCCAAGTGAAATCATTGCCTTTGGTGCCCATCCCTGTTATTTGTAAACAGGAAAGAAGCATTTGTTTTTCACAAGATAATTCTCCTACATGCGTTTCCTCAGGCTACTGGCAGTATAATGTATTTGGACCTAGTCTGAGACCAGAAATCACTTCAGAGTGAATGTATGTTAGCATATAATTCTTTAGGCCACTCTTGATGTCTTAGTGTTTTGTATTTGCATCTTCGTATCTATATCTGGATATTTTTGTCTTTTCAGCTGAGCCACCAAGAATTCTAACTCCTGCTAATAAACTGTATCAAGTCATCGCAGATAGTCCCGCATTGCTAGACTGTGCTTATTTTGGTTCACCTAAGCCTGAAATCGAATGGTAACTATGGTCATTGTGCTTAAGTTACGTAAAGAGCCAGTTATAGCCGTGGAAATGAACATTTAAAGCTTTAAAACTGTTTTTGCTCTATTTACAATTTTAAAATAGTGTATTTTTAAATGCATGCTGATTACAATATGCTAATACAATACTACATATATTTAATGTAACAACAGTTAAGTTCTCCTTACAGAGTCAAGTTTACATTTCATTATGTGATTCTGTCTGTGTTTTCTAACATGGCAGTCCCAAGTTTGCATCTTCTAATAATAAAATACAACAGAATTTAACTATGAAGTTGGATAATGATATTGCTTTTTATATAAAGGTTTAAGGGAGTGAAAGGTAGCATCTTGCGTGGAAATGAATACATTTTCCATGATAATGGAACCTTGGAAATTCCGGTGGCTCAGAAGGATAGTACTGGTACATACACATGTGTAGCAAGAAATGAATTAGGAAAGATACAAAATGAGGTGCAACTGGAAGTTAAAGGTAAGAAATGAATCACTTTTTCATCACAGGTCAGCATAGACTTTCAGACTTTCTAAATATCTAATAGTGATTTTAAATTTCAGATCCAACAATGATAATTAAACAGCCAGAATACAAAGTGATTCAGAGATATGGCCAAGTTTCATTTGAGTGTATAATAAAACATGATTCTACCTTATTACCAACAGTTATATGGTTGAAGGACAATGATGAACTGCCAGATGATGAAAGGTATGGAAAAAAAAATTTTCCTGTATTTTTAATTTTCTAGTTTCTTTTGTCTGCTCCTTTTCCTGATCTTTGAAAGGAACATACTGACCTATTAACATTTTCCAAAGCAGATTGATAAATATCATCACTATCCCATGTTTGGTGATTAAAGGACTGACTTAGTCTGGTGAAATTGTTAAGATAGATTTCAAAATAAAATGAGATGTAAAGATTTTTAATTGTGCACATTGACTGTGTATATCAAGTCTAAGAAGATAATTGGCGTAAGAGGCCAAAGGGGTAATGGAAGACTATTTTGCTCTAGATCACAGATAATGTAAAAGTTGCTTTAGTGTATATGGAAATAAAAGCACATTAGAATAGACAGTTACTGTGGGAACATGGTCAAGAGCAATGTAGAAAAGGCTGACATAGTCCCATAGCTTACATTGCTCTCTTGGTATTTGCTGAAGTACACAAGTATATGGGATTTGGTAATGTCTTATGCAAGTTTCTTGTAACAGTACCAGTTGTTGAAACATCAGTGGCTGAATCTATTGTATTTACAGGTTTCTAGTTGGTAAAGACAACTTGACCATTATGAATGTAACTGATAAAGATGATGGAACATACACTTGCATAGTTAATACTACTCTGGACAGTGTTTCAGCAAGTGCTGTGCTTACTGTTGTTGGTAAGAATACTCTCAAACTTTATGATAGAAGAACTGTGTTTAATTACTGTTAAGCATGAAAACAACGTTAGATTTAAAATTAAGAGCACAAATATAGTTTTAGTTTCTAGGACAGGACAAAGGGAATGTCACCTATTTGTAAATGTGTTTCAGTTTTTTAAAAATGTAGTCTTACCCTAAAGTTTGCCTTTGAATCAACTACTTACAAAAGGATTGAATAGCTACACGACATGTTCAGTTTCATGCTGTACAGGGGGTTTTTTTGATCATATCTGAGCTAACACAGTAAATTACATATTGCAGAGTATTTGAACATAAATATGTTATTTCAGGAATCTCTTTCGCAGCTCAATTATGCTTCAGAAAGACTGAGCATGCGTGGTTGTATGACTTTCAAAGGATTTTCTTTTTAAATTAGTTCTCTCTGTTAAGTTTCTATGATTGCAGATTGTTGTAAAATATGTTATTTTGCCCCTTCTCCCAATTGTAAGAAAGCTTTAAGTAGATGTTCTGAATGATTCTTACCTGATTTCAAGCTGAGATTTGAAGTCAAGTATGCTTGCATTTTAAAATTGTGTTGTGATCTTATGCCTATCCAGAAATGACATATGACAGATGTCTAGTACTTTGTTAAAAACTTTTATCAGATTGCTTGCTTTATTTATTTTCTTGATCTATCCTTATTTTTAAAATGGATAAAATATTCAAGAATACTTTTATAACTTTTCAGTGAAAAATTATCAAGGTATTACTTAAAATCAACCATTTACTCAAAATACGTTAACTTTTCTTTGTGTGTCATGATTATAGTCTTTAACTACCTACAACATTCTGTTTCTTTGGCTACTAACTGATTAAATCCTTTATATTAATGTTCTTTTCAGCTGCTCCCCCAACTCCAGCTATCATTTACGGTAAACTAATATGAAGTTCTCTTTCTACATCATCTGCCAGATGTATTTCTCTTTTGCCTATTGCAAAGTGCAACATCTTTTCTTTTTTTCCCTTTTTCCTTTGTGTGTGTGTGTGGTTTCACCCTATTTTACCAACTGCTTCATTACTGGAGTACTGGGCTTTGGAATTTTACAGTGCAGGCTGCTTTGTATTTTAGGGAATAAAAATAAGGAATAAAAATATATACTTTAGGGAATAAGTAATTTTCAGAGACAAACTATTTTTAATTAAGGTTGGTTACAGTGTGATAATGTTTTTCTCACAGAGAACACTGTAATGCAAATTAGTTATATAATAAATGAGAGATCTAAAAGGTAAACCCACCTGTTCATTGAAAGCTAATTCACTATCAAAGAACTTGCACCAACCAAATTATGCTATGGTTTTACATTGCTTGTGATGACAGCTTTGTAGGCCTGTTGTACTTTATTTCATAGTTTGTCTTCATTTTACTTCACTGTCATATGGAGAGGTCCATATTGACCAGTTTGGTTTATAAATTATGAAATTGCTAATAAGCATTTTAATATTAAAACTGAAATTCCAAAAAAAATCTGTCAGGTACAGTCTTAAATTTGATAGCATACAGCCTTTAATTTGGTAGCATTTTCTCTGAATTTGGATTTTAAAATGCAATATAATATGCCTAAAACACTTTTAAGTGTGACTTAAGCACTTTTACGTAAAATTCTCTCTCGTTCAGTGAAAATGCTTATGTATTCTTAAATGAATCTACTCATTAGTCTTGATTTTTGTGCAACAAATCATATAATGAATTATTTTCAGGAATTTGGAACAGACAATTAACATCTTTATGCATTATGAGGATGTAGATTAACAGCTTGCTTGGTATTTCAGGATTTTCTTAAAACTATAGCAAAAAATAAATGACTTAGTAACTTGCAATTAATTTCTATTTGAACTACACTTGTTTTAAATTCACATGCAAAATATTCGTAGTGATTCTAAAAAAACTTCTTTGATGTGAATGCTTCTTTATTTTCTGTATTTTATTAAGTATTCCTTGTTACAATGGATAACCACCCATAATCATTCAGAGATAAACTAAACACACATTTCATAATTCTTTGTATCTCATTACATTTTTATACCACATTGCAATCAGACATAGATAAAATAAAATATAGATTCTTGTTAATGTGTAGAAGTTTCCAGATACATCAGTTCTCCATTTTATCTCTGTTTTGTAACAATTGCATGCTAATGGTCATTAAGTCATGCTTACGTAAGTGAGTAGATCTGCTCTGCTGTATTTGTGGAATTCTTTTGATTGTAATGTCAGAGTTTTTTCAAAGATGAAACGACATATTCTGGTGTGATTATTTACATTGTGTTCATTTGCTTTACAGCTCGGCCAAATCCACCCTTTGACTTGGAACTGACAGGTCAACTAGAAAGAAGCATTGAACTCTCATGGATACCAGGAGATGAAAATAACAGCCCCATTACAAGTACGTTTGTAGCTATTGCATTACATTAACATTACGTTAACTGTTCTCAGATTCCAAAGAGTTCTGAGATAAATTTTGTGTGCAGCATGGGAGAATGGAAAATTCATTCACTACAGTTGCCATTTATTTACATAACAAAAATTCACTGACTGTCCTCTACTAAACAGCTGAGCAGAAAGACTTATTAACTGCCCTAAAAAGCAGGCTTTTGGATCAAAAGCCTGTGCTAGTTAGCATAGAAGTTGATACTCATGTGAGCTGTCTGACAAGGTCCAGTCTTATGAATATGTGGAGAGTAGATTTCTTCATTAGTTGAGTTAACAATTACTCATACATGCTTCTGAAAGAGAGAGCTACTAACATCTTGCATTCACGCTTTTGGTATTCCCATGAAATTGAAATAACATCAGTAGCAGTATCTTTAATCATTATCCATCACTACTGATACAGAAGCTTATTCTTCACGGAAATTTAAGGAAGACAGATAGTTCTGTTTTTTTCTAGTCCAAACAGTTGAAGAAATAAAGCATATCTATAAACTTTTGAAACAGGACATTGATCTTAAATGCTATTGTTCCTCCCAGTAGAACATGATGAAAGATACTCTTGCGTATATTGAACAGAGAGAGTGGAGGGGGAAACTAGGGGCAAGGAAGAAGGATGTCACTGTTTGTCTTCCAAAAAATAATAGGATCAGAAAGATTTGTCATGGCAACTTTTTCATTATGAGCAAGTTAAGGTAATGCTTTAATTATTTATGCAGTGTATTTTTAGTTAATAATTTCCACAAGTTACCAAGACCAGTGTACACGTTATTTTTGGAGTGAATGAGTTAGGCTGATTTATTGGGTGTTACTCTGCAGACTCTGATGCTGGTCAGTATCAACATTGAACACAGACTGCAGGGATCTGGCATCTAGAAAGGAAGTTTTGTAAAAAGAGAATTTCAGAAATTTCAGAACACATCAAAGATTTTGACTGCATTTTAGTGAAACACCAAGGGATTTTGATGAAGTTTTACACTTTCAGACTTGTCTACTATATATAAACTAGTAATATACTTTAAAAAATATAATATATAGAAGTTTAATGTACACAGTTGAATCGTATTTAAATTATGGCTTACTCATATACTGTTGTATCAGTATTTTCATTTTTTTCCAGACCAGAAGACACAAGTCTTGCCTTTCTATAGGTATGAGATCACACTGTTTTAAAAGAGATGATACTAAGTGGTGTTGGCTCATGTCATACTTTTTCTAGAAGCAAGATATTGAGTGCACTCTGATATTGGAAGTTGAGCTCTTCTGACTAAATAATGCTGGTTTTAATTATGATATGCTGTGTGGTCCTCTGAGAGCCTGCAAAATAAGGCATCTGCTTCATGCGTCAGCCTGTTATTGCTGCTGCTGCTGCTATCACTTCAAAGTGCAGATCAAGACTCAAAGATAGCACTTCATTATGAGAGATCCCTTTACACAAGTAATATGATTGACATGCTAGAATCTCTCTGAAAGCTCAAATAAATCTTTTTTTTCCTTGAAGTCTCCTATAAATTGTTCCACCAGAGTTGCAGGCAGAATACTAGTTACTGGGGAAGCAAAAAGCAGTAGTGAAAACTTTGTCGGTGTGTTTATTTTTTTTTTTTAACATGTGATACTCTCACCTTTTCAACAAAGACTTTAGTCCAGAAAACAGCCCATTGCAAGACCTTTATCCCTGAGTGCACAGCACTCAGCACCAGCTATAACTCAGGCAGTAACTTGGGGCCGGTTCTACCGCTTCCTTACCACTCAGGTCAGGATGAAATCTGCAAGCCTTAAGTCCAGAAGGCTATGATTAGTATTATTTACCTATTTTACTTCTTGAATATATTGGCTCCTCAAATTGTTGTGCATTATTTCTTTGCAGTACTTTAAGTATTCTTCTAAAAGCAATTTCTAGATGCCCCTCAGAATTTCATTAGTAGTGCAAACAGGATATATTACGAGTCATATACTGGCTCCGTGTCCTCACCTATACATGAGATATGGGAAAATATTTGTTAAATAACACACAGACATTTGATGTTTTGATAAATTTTGTATATCTAAACTTAAGGTTCCATGGAATATACTCAGACTATGCGTTCTTCTCTCATTTTATTTACTGCATCCTAACAATTCCGCTTAAGTATTTCAAAATTTATATCTTATATCTAAGAGCAGGAAGCCTTTTTGGCTGTTTCACAGCTGGGAAAAAAAAAAGTCCTTTTGTCTTTGATAATGAATATGTTTTTCTTTTTGGAGTTCTACAAACCTGTTTATCCCTGAGGTTATATACTCTGTAGGGTCTTAACAGTAATCATCGTAATGTTCACACAAAGAACTCTCAAGAAATTTAGCTTCTGAACATACATCCTTTGACTTAATTTAAAGATACTGAAAAGTGCTCTCAAAAACCTTCCTCAAGTATTTGTTCTTGACTTCAAATAGTTCTTCACTAAGCCAGTCTCACTGGGGAAAATGGAAAACTCAAGAGTTTTAATATTGTATCGATACTACTTACTGTCAGCTTGATACAACTAAGACCAATATATTTGTCAGCCAAATGTTACCTTTACATCAAAATTACAATCTTGTCCCATTTTCTTGCTGTGATCATTCAAGGGTTCCTGTTACATTAAAATCCAGTACCTGAGAGAGAGCTCTTGTAATAATGTGTTACCTGACAAGTAGCTGCATTAGTGAGAATACCAAATAATAAAAGTGAGAGTGTTTCTATTACATTTCTACCTAGACGGTACTTTTGAGATCAACATTATAGATTTGTGTTTTGGTTTATGTACTTATATTTCAATTTCCATTATTTTTAAAACCATTGTTTGGATCACTTTTTTTTGCTCAGCTCATCCAGAAATGCCTACGCAGATCTGAGAATGTGTTGCAAGTTTTGACATAAAGTTGGATTCCATTCCTCTTTACAGACTTTGTGATTGAATATGAAGATGGGCTGCATGAACCAGGGGTATGGCATTACCAGACGGAAGTTCCTGGAACTCAAACAACAGTACAGTTGAAGTTGTCTCCATACGTCAACTACTCATTCCGTGTGATAGCTGTCAATGAGATTGGCAGGAGTCAGCCGAGTGAACCATCTGAGCAGTACCTGACAAAATCTGCAAGTAAATAACTATTCCTGCTTACCAGTGATTGATTTATACGATGAATGGCATTGAATTTGCTTGGAATGCAAACAGCAGTCATTCTTGTTTATGTGTAAATGTTTTATTTTTTAGATCCTGATGAAAATCCTTCTAATGTACAAGGGATAGGCTCAGAACCTGATAATTTGGTAATAACATGGGAGGTAAGTTTGGTTTTTTGAGGTTTCATTTGTGTGTTTTCGGGTCTGTAAGAGGCATTTTTTTAAGAGAAATAATAATGATCTAACTGTGAACACACTATGAGAATACCCAATGCGTTGCTTGCTTAAAATATTCGTGAAAAAGAGTAAAATCCACACATTTTCTCATCTTCATTTTCAGGGAAAAGCTGCATGCATTATGGGAAAAAAAAATAATTCACAGTGCTCTATATTCCTTGAGTGATTTCTGAAGATAATTAATTTGGTAATACAGGATGTTTTGCTGCCAATTTAGGAGAACTTAAATATGTAAATTGTGGTTTATCTCAAGTAGACTCTTATTTTTACAATGAATTCTAATGTGAATCCTATCCTAACCTCGATTTTTGTGATAAACTAAATTATTGTGCATTCTTAAGTGAAAAATTTTTGTGGAAAAGTTTTCTCTATCATGCCCTTACTGTCGTGACAGGAGCTCAAGGAGAGCCATGCAAAACCAATTTCCTACCCCAGGCAAGAAGTATTGTTTAGGGAACACTGATTGTAGGGAGTTGGTGTAAGTCCGTGTTTCCCTCTTCCACTATTTAAGAAATATTTGAAAACAAAATACGTATACAGAAATCACAATGTATGGTTGCATGAGAACTGGCCAGAAGTTCTTGAATTCAATGTGTTTTAATGAAAATGAAATTTCAATGTGTTTTAATGAAAATGAATTTTCATTTGTGTTCAATGTGTTTTAATGAAAATGAAATTTTAAATGAAAAGCAACTGAAATGATCTCCTGTAAAAGCTAAATTGCATAGCTTGGAAATTTCAGCACTTTCTGTTGTAGAACACAGTGGTAATTTTTCAGTAAAATTCTGAAGAAGAATCAGTATATTTCCTTTGTGACTTTGGATTTTTCAGATGCAGAATATTTTTAAAACAATTTCATTTACTCTTTTCATTTCAGTCTTTAAAAGGTTTTCAGTCTAATGGACCAGGGCTTCAGTACAAAGTCAGCTGGCGTCAGAAAGATGTTGATGATGAATGGACATCTGTTATAGTTGCAAATGTATCTAAATATATTGTGTCTGGTACACCAACTTTTGTTCCCTATGAAATAAAAGTACAAGCTTTAAATGACCTGGGATATGCACCAGAACCATCAGAGGTGATTGGACATTCAGGGGAAGACTGTAAGTTTCGTAGTTTGACTCAATTGTACTAATTAAAAGCAACTAAATATGTAAACTAAGTGAGTATTTAAAATAGTAAAATATTGAAAAAGGAGGATAGTAATTTTTGTTTTAAATTAAAATTAAGTAATTTGGAGATAATAAGGTTTCATTGTACTCTGTAGTACTAATCCTGAGGTCTGCTTTTTAACATAGGAACATTTTAACCTACTCCTTGAATGCGATGTTCGTGTGGCGTCTCATTCTAACTGGGTACATGTTGCATCCTTTCCACACAGTGCCAATGGTTGCTCCAGGCAATGTGCAGGTTCATGTTATTAACAGCACGTTAGCAAAGGTGCATTGGGACCCAGTTCCACTAAAAACTGTCCGAGGACACCTTCAAGGGTACAAAGTAAGTACAGTTGAAAGTGTTTTGTCCCTCGTTTCTTAAAATAGATGACTTTTTCTATGTGAGACTGTATCCAGATTGAAGTATCTGACATAGAAGAGGGCTCTTGCTTTTCACTGAGCTCACAGGTCTTGCTGACAAGAGCAACAGCATTGATGCAATTCATTTGAAGTTCAGCAATGTTCCAGCCTTGTAGTGCTAGTCTCCTGTGACATTGTCCTTGAAGAAAAATGGGATTTGTTTGCAATTAAGTTTGCACACATTATGTAGATTTTTAAAATGATAATAATTTTACAGATCTTATTCCAAAAGGATATTCAGCGGATGAGGAGAAATAGTTTCTGTAGGAGTCTCTTCTAAGTCTAATGCTAAGATTACTCATATTCTGCCATAGCACGATTAATCACATCCTTAATTCTGAGGAAACTGGCCACTTGCTAGCTTATGCTGCATACTGTGTCTTTTGGGGACCAGGAAAAAGCTCAGTTTAAAAGCTCCATTTAAGGAGATAGGAAATAGGAGAAGATTTGGGATGTACATATAATTGAAGGAAACTTAGTATAAAATAGTGTGCTGGCTTTGACGATAACTGAGAAGGCCTTGTTAGAGACAAAAAACTACAATTAATAGAGAATGGAAGACAGAAGGACTTCAAAGTTAGAAACTGGGGAAACTGGTATCCATGGAGGACAGGGAAAATCTGATGGCAAAAGTTGCTTCAGATGTTGCACGAGAAGCCCATCAGAAAAAAACCCAAGAGTGGAAACTGCAGAAGCATGGTAGACTGCTTGTGGAGGGAAGAGTGGAGTGAGAGGCTATACTGAATTCCTGTGCAACAGTAGAAGAAAATAAAAAATATTTAGTTATCTGCTCCTCTGCAAGAATGCTAATAAATATGTTCTAACAAAACAGACTAGTTACACAGCCTGAACTAGGTTACTTCATAAGAGAGACTAATGTAAACTACTTCTGTTTAAATGAAAGGAGGAAAAAGAAATATTTAAAAAATGAAAAAAGAATATCATACTTACAAATACTTATAAAATGGAGGACTAACATTCAAGCATATTGAAACCAAACTTCAGTGCATTACAGCTGGTTATCACATGAATGCAGTATGTCCTGGTATGTAGATATCACTTATTTGGTACAAAATACCACTGTCCAGAGAGACTTAAGCTAGTTCTGTATGAGCTAGCAAAATTATTTGTAGTGAGTGCAGTGCTTTGCTCTAGATAATAAACTCCTCTGAGAAACAGGACTTACTAGTCTGTTAGACGTTTATCAGTTAGATGACAGTCTCATATCAACCTGGTATTTCACAAACAAATGGGCAGCCAAAAGAAAATGTCCATTATATGAAGATCACAGAGTTAGAATTTAGTGAAGTTAATGCTTATTTTTAATCCTGTTGCAGCAACGCTAAGGCTCATAATCCAAATTGCTAAATTTCTGTTGAAGACCATTAATAATACAAAAAAATCCATAGACACAAACATCTGCCCATACATCAGGTGTTAAGTTCTCACCCGTCAAAGGCATGGTTATGGTGAGTTGTCATCATCCCAAGTTTACAGAGATTTCTTTTTCCTCAGACTTGGAATCTCTGAGGGGTCTTTTGTGTCCTGTATTTGCTAATGGGTTGCACACTTTCATCTCCAGTTGGTCTAAGGGGTTAGTCATACCATGATTACTTCTGTTTAGTGTATTAGTCCTTCTCTGCATAAAGTATGATTATTTTCTGTGGGGACGAGAACCACACAATTATACAAAGGTAAGCAAAACTGAAACTAAAATAAGTTAGTCAAAATCATAAGGAAAACAAGGTCAAGACCACAGGATTGGCAACAGACCTGACTACTGAGTAGTTTTGCTGTTATGTCTAGGACAAACGAGACGATGGTATATCCTTGAATAACTTGCAGATGCAGCAGAAGTTTCTTAATTAATTTTTGCCGATACAGCTAAATCAAGCTAAATTAGGTTAAAATTAGCTTGATGTATTCTAAGATCTAGTGGATAGTTGTTGTTATAAAGCTTTCTCTGAATTCAAGCTGAAAACTTCTCCTGGATGCCAAGTACGCTTTAAGTGTCTTAGTTATTGACATAGCTTACAAAGTACATGACTATCTCTTTTTAAACACATCAGCAAAATCCTACTAGCAAAGTCAGGGTTTCCTAATTAATAACATTATTTCAGACAGTAGACCAAGATGCAGTGTTGCATTAAGGACACAGAATAAAGAGAGGGGTATTTCTCTGAAGAGTCACATCATGAAGACAAATGTATGAACAAAGCAGGAAGGTATCTAACTAGCAGCAGTCTACAGCACATCACTCGTATTTTGCTCTTGTATTAATCTAGCTATTACTTGATACACTGTGGTACATTAAAGCATTTCACACCTACAAAGAATTTTTTAAAATTATTCTTTTCATTGTTACTGCTGCTATTTTTTCTGTTATTCTTACAAATTCAGTGGTCATTCAATACAGCATGTGAAAAATGTGATGCAGTCTCCTTTACTGTCATATTCCTCTTCCAAATCACTGCTTATCAAACCCAACTTATTAAAGCTGTCTTTTAATTTCAGCCTGGCTAGTGACAAGTGATGACCCAACTATAATAATGTGCTTTGTGAAAAGTTACTGGCTAAGAATTCTTAAAATATCATTAATTATACCTGATGAGTTTCAATACTAATAGTACCAACACTTCAAGCTTTTGTTAGCCTGTAAATGGCTTTCTACACTAGTTGGTAGGATGAGAGCTACAGGATGACAGCTGGCGGTGTTGAAAAACATTAACTCAAGCCATGTAAAACACAGTGGCACTTAACAGTGATTAGTGTGAAATGATATGTTGTTAGCAATAGAAAGCTGGTGTTATTGTAACATTGCTTTACAACTATCTAGTTGGGCTTTGCAAGTCTTAACAGTTCCCTTTTTAGAATTCATATGTGAAATCCCAGCTTTCTTAATTAAAGACATGTTTTGCAGTTGGCCGAAGTGGAACCAGAATTTTACCCATTTACATTGCTTTATCAGTTTTGGTGTGTGATCATACATGCATGAAAATTACGCTGTGAAAAATGAACATTGATATATTTGAAGGTGACAATCCGGAGTAACACAGATCTTTGTAGGGGCAACTGTTAATACCTTTCCAGATATCATGGTAGAGAGACTGTGTAGTAAAGAGAGTGCAGTCAAGGTAATTACCTCAGAGGCACATCTGTAGTTTCTTAGAAACTCAATCGCAAAATGGACCCCAGAATCTTTGTGGTCTGATCTAATTGTCACATAAATGGAGGAGTAGTCTTCTGTCCCTAGGTGGAGATCATTCCACGACTGTAACCTCAGAGTCCTTTCAGAACTTGTGTGTTTTTTCAGCCACGACAATCTATTGGTTTCTTTCCCATTTAAAAGTATCTACTTAGCTTCCACATCACAGGGAATAGCATAATCAGGTGTATGACATAACAACGTGGCAAAGTGCAAGTCTGCTTTGGCAGCTGTGTAGACATCTTACTGCAAGAATGGATGGTATAAATGAGTCCTGCTTCTCAGACGGACTTGCTAACATAAGAATCATCATACTAATGCAGTTCCAAATCACAATTTGTGTCAAACTGGCCTTGAGCATTAGCTGAACTGGCAGGTTCACCCAGTTATGTAGACATGACTGTTTCTGGACAAGGTCTGTTTCTGGAGCAGGAAAGCTCTATACTGTGCCTCACCCGAGCTTATTAAAATTGCAGTTATTCCTACCTAAAATTCATGTATATTCATGGAAATGCTTAGAGTTTATAAAATCAGAACACCTAAACACTCACTGTAGATTTTCTTTTGCCTTTAGGTTTACTACTGGAAAGTGCAGAGTCTATCCAGAAGGAGTAGGCGGCATGTAGAAAAAAAGATCTTGACTTTCAGGGGAAACAAGACTTTCGGAATGTTGCCAGGGCTGGAGCCCTATAGTTCTTACAAGCTGAATGTTAGAGTTGTTAATGGTAAAGGAGAAGGACCAGCAAGCCCAGACAAAGTATTTAGGACCCCTGAAGGAGGTATGAAATGAGAAAGCTAGAGAATAAACTTCAATGTGGTATATTCAGAAATAGAACACTAAGGGTGTAATTGCTGAATTTGCATCTTTGATGTCATAAAATAATAATCTGACTCAATACAGTAATAGTCTTATGAACTAATAATTCATGAGCTGTTTTAAGTTAATCTACTTTGTATTTACTGTATATTCTTCTTAAAAGTTCCTAGCTCACCCTCCTTTTTGAAGATCACTAACCCAACGTTGGACTCTCTGACTCTGGAGTGGGGTTTACCTACACATCCAAATGGTGTTTTGACATCATATACACTGAAGTTTCAGCCAAGTGAGTTAATTATGAACATATAACTCTAACTTAGACAATATGTCTACCAAATAGCAATCCACTTACTAAGAAAAAATTATGGTAAATTTAAAATATACAAAAGATATGATTGCATTGTAGATGTCAAGTTTGAAAAAATTAATGTATTTTGACACTATAGATGACTCTATCTGGAAAACTTCACTTGTTCAAGTACAAGGCTAGCATTTTTCGATTACTTTTATTTCTTCAAACCAAGCTTCACAGAAAAATGGAGATGAAGTCCTACATATTGACAGCCAAGTTAGAAGCATGATACTACCACTTACAAATCCTATATTCTAGCCACAGAGAAAATACCACTGAAGTAGATCAAAATACATCCAATTATATTGTTCTCTGCTTCTTCAATTTTCATGATATTTTGATTTTAAAATGAAAAACTCACAAATGTACCATTTACTCATATCAGAGCTATAAATCACTTCTGTAGGATCCCCATGCCACTGCTTACTTGCCCAGAAATTTGTCAGCAGTGACACAGAGATTAGGAGATTTGTGTGCATGGAACAGGTGAAGGAAGTTTGTTTCCTTCCACTTACCAACTTCCACTCTTCCTTGGCATTAGGTACAAGTCACTTCAGTATTTTTTTCCTAAGCATACTGAATTTGTTGTGAGGCAGCAGATTTAGAGTTTCAGAATTTTTTAATGGTCAGTGTTCCAAATGTGTTCAGATGATTTGGATTCAGATACTTACAAGAATGGAACCTGAACTTAAAAAACTTGTGGATGTTTCCTATATCTGTGTTGAATTTTAGCCCCTTGCATAGATCCTTTTTACACAAAGATGGCTTTCTTTTGAAACTTTAGATTATCATTCATATAACCTGAAAGGAACAATGCAGCAGACAAACAGATCAAATAAATACAAATAAAAAAAGTCTGTTTTAACATAATGATGATGTATAAAATTTTCCTGACTCAATCTTTTTTTTTTTGTAACAACAGTTAACAACACACATGAATTAGGTCCCTTGGTAGAGATAAGAATTCCTGCCAACGAGAGCAGCTTGATATTAAAAAATTTGAATTACAGCACACGGTACAAGTTTTACTTTAATGCACAAACTTCAGTTGGATCAGGAAGTCAGATAACTGAGGAAGCAGTAACAATAATGGATGAAGGTAAGGTTGGTATGTATAAAGAAAACCCATTGACTTTAAAAACCACTATGGATTTTATTACAAGTATTACTACTTCTTCCTTTCGTTAAGGAAATAGCCCCTGTTAAAGTTTTCTCTAGAGCTTTCTTAACTGTGTCATACACTAATAAAAGATTTTAAATATTTTTTAAGGAAAGATGTGCAAACGTTTTCCACTGTAGTGGAAGCCCAGAAATTGGTCTAAAGCCCCTCTTTTTGACAGTAAAACCCCTCTTTTTGATATAAACTTGCAAGACCGAAGACTGGCTTTTCTGGGCTTCAAAGTTTCATTTAACTGTACATTTTAAGTGGTCTTCCTCCATTCTGCTTCATTGACCTTCTCTGATCACAGAGAAAAATACTGAAATGGTGCAGCTTTATGGCTAGAGGAAATTATTTCTCTTTTGAAGTATACAACAGCTTCTGTGAGGTCTAAGTGTTTTTCACAGGGCTGGCAAAAACTGTAACTTCAAAAAAGCTGCAGAAATAAATTTGTCATCTATGGCCCCAAGTAACTGGTGGCATTGTATAATATTTCAGTACTCTTAAGTATATTGTCCAGTCCTGTCACTATTGATTTTTACATTTATAGCCATTCTAGATCTCTGATTTTGGCAGTTCTTTTGTTGAAGGTGTTATTTATTTAAATATGAAAGCTTAATAAAATAAGAGTAATTCAAATGGGAAATTTGAGCGGAATGCCTTTTATGATTTTGCACAGCTTAATAGTAAAAGTCCATTTTGATACCATCTTTTCACATATTTTTAGACTTAGTAAAATTATAGTTTATTGGAATTGCCATAGATGAGTTTGTATGCAATACAATTTCTCCAATAGTGTATTAAGGTTGCATGTGAACTACATTTATTTTAAATAATGAATCTTAACAAGCATGAGCAATAAAATTTTGTAAATGCATGTATATTAATTTTTGTCTTGTAATAGTCTGTCAGTGTTCAGCATCAGTGGATTGTTTCTAATTTATTTGAATTAATACACTTTATCTGGTCTGCATGCTTTCATGGTTTATAACGAAATTATATATGTATGTTCCTTTTGGTGTTGTATCTAATTATATAGTGTTCCTATTCTTGTTTTCCTCCATTAAAGCTGGTATTCTCCGTCCTGCTGTAGGTGCAGGCAAAGGTAAAATACTGCATGATTTGTTAATGTGTGGATTTTGCAGTGTTGCAAATGGGGAAATTGCAGTGGTAAGGACAGAAAATCTTGGACTACACATTGCTATACAAATTATTAATCAGTGCTGGAAGAAAACATTTGCGGGTTTTGTTGTTTGGGGTTTTTTTTTTGTAAAAAAAAAGAATCCAGAAGGCTTATTAATACTTTTCATCTGTTTATTTTGCCACAGAGTTCCAGGGGAATTCATTAGCTTTGCTTCAGCAAAGTCTAATTATTTCTAAACACTTAACAAATGTATGTCACTGCCATAAATATTCAGGATCCAGGTGCACTAGCACTGATTAGCTGGAGTAGAAAAAAACAGCACTTTTGCAAAGGAGATTTTTTTACTGCCTGTGCCATGTGCATTAGTTATTTTAAAAAAGTAGGTGCGTTCTTTTTCTCACTGATGATTAATGCTACCCATTTGATCACATTTATTTCATTTGCGAGCCAACTGTGCATAGGAGACAGATGACTGACAATACCCGCTGTATACGTCTCAGTTTGAGTATCAGATTGAATGTACAGGCACATGGCTTCCTGCTGGCTTAGGTTCACAAATCCTGTGAGTACTTGAGGACATTCCAGTGAGTGGAACCTATTATCATCCTTATTCTTGAATCCAGTCATATCTAGTTCTTTATGATGCAGTTCTTCTGTCAAACAAGGGTTCTTCACATTTTTGCACACAGTTTTTATGAATTTTGACACCTTTACTGTCAGAAGCAAAGATTGTTCTGAGGACTGTTAGGTAGCTATGAGTCAGAAATGTGTCTCTATACGTATGTGTCATTTTATCACAGAGGTGTTATTAACACTAATAAACATCTGTACTTCAGATTCTCAGACCGTAAACATCCCAAATCGAACTCTGCACATGAAATACCCAACATTTTTTACAAACTTGAAAGAGACAGCATAATGGTTCTACATATATTTTCTTTGCACTTATCAGGTGTTTTGAAGGATAATAGCCATAAAAAAGAACTTCATTCACTCAGTCTGTTATAAATCAGATTCTATATATGTATGTGTGCATGCATCTGTGCATATATAATATATATTTATATATGTATATATAAGTGTATTCTAATATCAGATGTATTTCTGGTAAGTGTATGGCACTGTGGATTTATTTTAATGACAAGTCTGTCTTACTGTTTTTAGTCTAGCTGTAGCTGAGAAGTCAGCATAGATTGGAACAATCAAACTGGCTTGTAGTCCTGGACATTAACAGCAGAAATGTAAATTAAGTTCTCATTATTTATAGCCAACTATAAAACCTCATGGAAGGAAAAATGGATTCTCTGTGTGAAACTGAGGTCTAATTATAGCTGTATCACAATCTGTGGCTAGCAGAAAGCATCTTATTTGTAAGATCAGCTGGAGCAGCTCACATTTCAGAGCTGTCATCTCAGATTTGCTGAAAACTAAACAGATGTCTTCGTTTGGTTCCATGCCGTTTATGGTTTCAAAGTTTTCACATATTCCTGTAGCATCTACCTCTTACAATTGCAAAGAAAACCGGAACTGCAAACAGGATGGAACTAAAGCCATGACATCTGTTAGGACATCTGAGTTGCTGCAGGTCTGAGATGAACGTTCTCAGTGGTTACTTACATTAACATGATTAACTGTTTTGCTGCTGATCAGGGATTATGAGGAAGGAAAAGGAGGATCATATTATCAACATCAAGTGCCAAATTATTTGGTCTCATAAGTGGGTGGATTTGGAAGATAGAAATACTCAGCCCACTCAAGAAGAAGTGAATTCACACCCAGCAGTGAATTTTTACACCTCCATTAAGTGCAGGAGGGCCTATACGTATATAAAGTTCTTACTAATGTGGACCCAAAGCCGAAGCAAGGAGGTGTTGAAATTTAGATATCCTTAACTTTTTTATGATCTGTCAGAAAATCTCAGTTTTTCATTTTGAAGGGCAGAACTTACCAGGAAAATGTAATTATCCTTCGTATTTCAATTTGAGCACATTCATCTTGGAGGTCAAGATGAAAATAAGTCCCAGATTCAGGCAGCCTAAATTGCACTGAAATTTCTGTACTTGGTGTTTTCTGCTGGCTAGCTGACCATGAAGACCTGCAGCTTGACCAGCTAGAAACATGAGACACGAGATGCTGAAGGAATTCAAATCATCTAAACCTGGGCAAACTGTGCAACTTGTGACATTTCACTTCTTAGGGCAAAACTGTATATTAAAGTGTAGAAGGAAATATTGCTGTGGTAAATCTAAGGATCTTAGCTTGTCTCAGTATTTTTATTGCAGTTCTTGACACCATGTGTCTTTTATCATCTTTTTAGACAGGCGTGAACCCTTCATTGTCTTTTACTACTTTAAAACCAATGAAAGTAACCACAGTCTGCTTACTGCTACACTTGACACTTATAATATTTGTCCCAACTGAGTTTGATTATAATGACTGTACTGCTGTTAAGTAAAGATATCCAGTATATTCTAGACATATAAGTAAGAGAAGCAAGTTTTGTGTATTTTTCCCACAAGGTAGAATAACAATTTTAGATGAAAACATGAAATATGAGGTCAAGGCTAAGGGATTTAGATAAAGGAATCTTTTTTTTTTTTTTTCTGTAGGTTGAATAGAACTTAGAAGCTCTATTCGAATGGGGGGCAATATAAGGAAGAAATTATTGTCTCCCTACAATATGGGCATCATCCTAATAAAAAAGTCATTTAGACAAACAGTCACATTGCATCAAGTAGCAGAAATGCAATGGGTCTTGGCAAATTACAAGAACTGAGGTTTTTTCTTATCTAAGAGAAACTTAACAGAGCAGTTCCATGTCATTCTCTCACAAGCCACGTGAGTAAATCATGAGACACGTTATTTTACTAGACAGGCAAGCTATCCTGTTATAGTCGATACTCCCATTTGCCTTGAACTATGTTTTTTCCTTTCTAATACTGTGATGTTACGAATGACTTAAATTTGATCAAATTATGGCACAACAAAGGAAAAATAATTGGGTTTTTTTCTTAGCAACCTGTATTCTAAATGTGTCTGAAAACTGCATGTACTAAACTTCATGTATTATACCCAGATTAGATAAGCAGTATGCACTGATATTGACATTTATGTATTGACATCTAATGACAGGCATGAGGTAACAGAGCTGTGAGAAAAATTGGGGAACCTGATTATATATAGAATAAGAACCTGATTATATTTAAAATAATTACAGTAGCAGCTGGAAAGTGACTCAGGTGATCACTGGAGTCAAGTCTTTCCTACCCTTTTCCATTAGACGTTTTAAATATCTGGTCTATAGAGGAAGGAAGAGAAAACAAATTTGACCAGTGGTAGAAATGAAAGTTCATGATTAAAATCAACTGTTACAGGGGCTCATTATTGTGTTTGTTGTAAGCTGAAGTGTAGGGAGTCACGGCATGACGTGTCACTCTCATTTCACAAGCCATCTTGGTTCACTTTTTAATTTCTTTTTGATTTAGTCAACGTTTTTATTTGAAAGCAAGGTCTTGCAGTCTGCATGCACACCAGCACTGGTAACTGGCAGTCCTGAACTGCAATTAAAATAAGCTTGTGAGATCACAGTCACCTTTAACTGAAGCTAATGCTTCTTGTCAATGCGGTTCTCAGTCTGGTCTGCCTTCTTCATGTGAACTTCACATCTCAAGTATTATTGACAGAAATACTTTCATTGCAAGGGAATAAAACAAATAGTCTAGCCTTTGGGTTTGAAATGCTTCTTTATTTTCTGACTGAATCTCCAATACGTAGCTCTTCACTGTGGACTAGCAAT